CTGTGTGTGTGTGTGTGTGTGTGTGTGTGTGTGGCTCTTTGCAGTAACACAGTAAAAAATTGGCTCTTAGTCTCTGACTGGTTGGCCACCCCTGGTGTAGAGTATCAGTCATTGTCATCATCTTTATTTCTAACGTCATAAATATTCTGCATGTCTTGCTGCAAATGTCCTTGTGTTTCTGACAGACAAATACAGCTCAAGGTTGCTGAGGTTATGACGCTCTGCGTTCCGTTCATGCTGATGGATTCGATTGCAGTAGGTCTGTTTAATGTACATAATTGTTACATCATGACACAGCAACACTGTTGAGTGTGTTTTTACAGGTGGCCGGAGGAGGGATTATCAGAGGCATGGGGAAGCAGAAAGTCGGAGCCCTCTGCACCATTCTAGGTTATTATGGGGTGTGTCTACCTGTCGGAGTGCCACTGATGTTTTCAGCCAAATTAGGAATCAAGGGTACGTCCTTTTGACGTGTTAGACTATTTTGACAATCTTCACTGTCTTTGGTAACTCGTTGTTTGCAGGTCTGTGGACAGGTTTCTGTTCCTGTATGTTTCTGCAGAACTGCATCCTGGTTGTCTACTTGGCAAGGATAAACTGGGAGCAAGTTACACTTGAGGTATTGCTTCAATTGTATGCTGATTTTATGCACAGCGATGCTTTGAGATACCAGACTCCTACAAAAAAAAGGAGGGCTTTTTATCATGAGAAAAGTAGCACTCAAACACTGCCTTATAAAAACTTACAGTAATAACATCAGTAGAATATAAACAGCTGTTCCCTCCAGTGTATATGCCTCAGCGGCCATATAATACAGACGTAGAGACTGACGAAGTGAGTTGCTGTAAAAATTTCTTTTTTTAGGTCATTTACCTGTGAGTATTATCATATTGTCTGTCTACAAATTGTGTTCAAATATGTTTTTAATGCGTTATAACACCGAGACACTAATGCTATTCGTTAGCTCGTTCCTTATCGTTTTGCACTGTTTGTTAGCATAAAACTAAACTAACTTTAGCAATGCGAAGCTGTTGTTTTAATTCCACGAGGTGAGAGGCAATAAATAGCTTGAGGCCTCTTGTTTAAAGAATTGTTCACATGGCTGAATGACAGCTTTTATTTACCTTATTCTTATTCTCCATGAGCCTTTGCATGAATTATGTGAGCAAGTTCAGGTATGAACCGAAACCAGCGTTTTGTTTACACGGTGTCATGAACGTTGTGGTGGAGGAACCCAAAAAGCAGGCAGGAGGGAGGAGCAGGGTGAACTTGACAGAATATATTAACAAAACATTGAGAAAACTAAATCGACAACAAAGACCTGAAAATAAATACAACCCAAAGTAATAAACAAAAACCCATGGCTGACGTAAAAACAAGGTGAAAGCAATACTAACAAAAATCCATGGCAGTAAAGCACAAACACTGACACAAACAATGACCGACACTGAGTGTTTGGGCAAGGAGTCCTTCGAATAGAAAACCTACTAAATGACACAATGACCAACAGGTGTGCAGCTGCAGGAAGAGCCCTACAGTGACACCTGTTGGTCACAAACAGATCCATGACACATGGTAACTGTTTGCGCGAGTCCAATTTCTATCACAGCTACAGACCAAACAATGTGACAATGCCAGTTGTTACAGCTGAGGGGAGAAAACATTTAAATCCCGCTTCTTACTCATGTAGCGGGATAGGAGGACGACACAAAAATAAAAAGGCGAGCTACAAAGCTACTTTCTGAACTCTGTTGTTTCAGACTTGAGGCAATGATAAATATGAAAATCTCCGAGGCGTGTCAGTTCCATCACAGTATGAAAATTGGTTAGGTTTCAATTAAAGAGGTTGGGACCCAGTTTTATTTACCTTAAAGCACATGACTCAGCCAAACCTACTATTTCCCACTGCATGGTAACCACATGACCGGAACGCTTAACCCGTTTAATCCCACCGGTCACGTTTGTGAAGGACAACAATGATTTAATTTACAGGGCTCTAAATTTTGTTATTACTGATTACTTAAAAGGGCTACCAATGACACCTGATTTTGACTTTTAAATGTCTGGGAAAAATTTGGGATTAAATGGGTTAATGTAAATGAGCTTCAAGTCGCTCGATGTCATAAAACCTGCGATCAATTGACAAAGATTATGTGAACCTATCTACTTATGTCAACTTCACCCAGTGCAAATATTAGGCAGATCGGCCCCAATATTTAGAATTTTATTAGCGTAACGTCTTCCTCTCCGCAGGCACCTACTGACAAAAACGGTTACCGTGCTTAAAATACAAAATATTGCTGCGATCCTTGCAATAATTTCAGTGTTTGAACAATAGTAAAGTCCCACATCTCCCACACACATAAAAAACATACCTGATGTTCTTTTGACACTTGGCACCGGCGAATCTTCTCCGGTTACAGGAAGTCACGCACATAATTGTTACTCCATGAGAGCCCTTGGGGAATAAGGTGGAGATTGCATCTCAAGGCACCGCCAGTCATCTTCTTCTTTGTTCTATTATAATTATTGTTGTTATAATAATTATTAATTAATTTATTTTTTGTTTCCCAGGCTCAGATGAGAGCTGGTGTTAGCAGGAGTTCAGGTAAGATGAAAAAAACAGCTTTTGATATCTATCAATAAAACATTAAGCAGGTCAAATACAAAGAAAAGAAAAGCATCCCCAAAAGAAACACAAACATGTATTAAAAGTTTAGGGATGAATGTGTGTAGTTGTACACTCGCCTGCGGGTAGCATACGATTGCTTCCCATTCAGTGATGGTGTGAATGTGAGTGTGAATGGTTGCTCATCTCTGTATGTGCCCTGTGACTGACTGGCGACCAGTTCGGGGTACAGTCCGCCCTCTGCCTGACATCAGCTGGGATAGGCTGCAGCACCGCTCTGCGAGCCTGGAGAGGATACGCAGTGTTGAAAATGGATGGATGGATGTGTGGATGGATTACAGACAACAGAAGTAAAGCAACCACAACAGATATCGTCTTTGACTTAGTTATTGCTCCTCCCCGACAGTAGACCCACAGCATCAAAGCGAAGCGCTCGAGCTGTTGGCCCCCGAGGATAAAGAAGAGGAGGAGGAGGTGGCAGAGGTGATGAACGCTGCAGGCCAAAGGAACTTAATCCTGCGTCGAGGCCTTCTTGTATCTCTCATGATCTTTATTCTGGCTGTGGGGATTGTTGTCAACCAGCTGTTGACCAACCACCTGCTCACATGATCCATTTGTCAGTCCACGGGGCTCCAATGAAGTCTGTCGGGTTGTGACAAGGACTAAGGGCCCATGAGTGAGGTGTGGATAATAAAAGATGTATAAATGATGCAACAGGAGTGCCAGGTCAGATGAGGTGAACGCCCAGGAATAGGTAATTTTGAATTTGGAAACGATTTAAATTGTTATTTTCAAATTCGAACACGAGAACCGCCCCAAACCCAATTTAAAGTTTGGCCACAGTCCACACAATTTCAATGCATATGATATAGATTAATATGCCACAAAGGCATATGATGATTTGTTACGCTATGAATGATACAAAAGTGATATCAGTCTTCTAATATGGATTGCAACCATATTCACATGACGCTTGACAATGCATTATGATGGCTTGATTAATGTAAGTGATGCTTTACTATAAATGCTTTACATATTTTCACAGCAACTGCTCCAAATACATTATTTGATGTGTTTTATGCCCATGTTCGTGTTATTCTCACGAATATGACATGTTAAGATTGTACGTGGTGGGCCTGTCGTTACATGTGAGAAGCTGAGGTTAAGGTAAATAAGGGTTATAATGGAAGCTTGAAGGTACAAATAATGGAACAGATTTAAACAAGCGACATTACATCACTGGAATTTTCCAGAAAACCAGAGGCTATAAAAATGCAGCTGCCTGTTGGCTCAGTGCTTTCTCTATGCAGCTTCTGCTCCGAAAAATGCGATATGATGAAGACTCAACATGAGGAATCCTTCCCGTTCTGATTCTGCGCAAGGGCAAATTTGAAAGGATTAATTCGACTTAATTTGGGTTTGACCAAATTCTCGCGACGATAAGATAATCTAAGAAAACGCATCATTATTCGCATTAGAGAGAGAGCCTGTTGTGTGTCCAGTTTCTTCGTACTCCAAATTTATCTTGTCGATTATTAGGCGTTGTGTAATTGAAGAACTGATCACTCTTGATTTCACTTAAAATAGGATTATTATCCCAAATCATTTTTGTTTTATTTTTTGGTGGTTTCTTTTTATGGATTACTCTTTATTCATTTTCTTTCTTTCTTCTTTCAAATCTTCCAGAATGATAACTTAATCATTTGATCTTTTTATTTAATTCCTGTGATAATTTTCATATTTTGATGGATTATGAACTCAATATGTTACATCTCATTTGATTGATGATTATTGTTTCACTATTAAATCTTTTAAAGTTATAATTTAATCATTGATCTTTTTATTATTTAATGGCTGTAAAAATTTTCACATTTTGATGATTGTTAATTCAATATGCCCCATCTTATTTGGTTGATGATTATTTTTTAAATTATTGCATCGCTACTAAACCTTTTAAAAATATTAATTAAATGTATTCTTATTATTTTATGTTCTTCGGCATGACTTTGAAACAGCTTCTAGGTAACGTTCACTGTTTGGAGGCACGACAAACTAGCAAAATTACAATTAAGAGATTCTCTTAATTGTAATTAACTTCTCTGAGAAAGAAAGTCTCCATTGAGTGACTTGAGTCCGTCTGTAAGAAAATGTCCGTGCTATAAACACAGAAGTGTCGAAACATTGTTCTGTGGGACACGAATATGGTTTTAAAATGATAGTTTAGAGACAGGAATTTTGGTGTTGATACAATTGCAGACAGCAAGATGAATTGTATTAATTCTGAGATGTGTTTGAATTTGTGTCAGAACACTCGCACGTCTTTACCATAAAGACAAGAGTAGAATGGATTTCATTAGTCGCTAGTCGTGATGGGTCCAGCGACACCGATGCGTCGACGCATGCGTCGGGCTCATAGAGAAATCCACGTGTCGGTGAGTGTGCTGTTTCATGAGATCAGGTGATCAACACGTGAACTGCGTCGGCACAGCCTGCTCCGACACAATCCAGGCGGCGACACACAGTCCAGCCGGCGTCGACTCAGTCCAGGGGGCGTCGACTCAGTCCAGTGGGCGTCGACGCAGCAAAAGCCCGCCACACTGTGTTTATAAGGAAGTGCGTCTGGCGACAAGATGCCGGCTGCCGAAACAAGCCACACCTCACCCTCGCTCGAATAAAAATATATATTTGGGCAAAAAGGAAAACACACAGATTATTAGAAAAACGTGTCCGTCTGACTCCGAGCGTCGTGTCGGCTGTCATATAATAGGCTATTATTATATGAGAAGTGCTTTATGAAAGTTTGTAATGTACGTCATACTCCAGTTCATTGAGAGGTCCCGCCTATAAGGGGGCGTTCCAGGAAGTAACTGCGAGTGAGCACATCTCATGTTTGACGACTCTGCCACGTTGTTATTAAAAGTCATATAAATAGTGATGGGATTTTCGGCTCTTTTCGGTGATCCGGTTCATTTGGATCGGCTCAGTGAAAAGAGACGGCTCTATATGGCTCTCAAACGGCTCTTTTAACTTTAGCTTTTCTTTTAAATATTTATGACAAATTTAGCATACATTTTGATCAATGACTTGGTGAATTAAATATTGCACTCTACTGACTGCAAATAGCAACAATTATCAAGCAAAGAAATGTTTTTTTTACTAATTTTATTGAACATTAAAAAGGCTCCAAACAATAAACAAGCAACAAAATTAAACTTCAACCAACAACAATCAAACATGCTGCATCATAACAAAAATAGAGAGTATTAACTGCAACAGCAGTAGTGAACAAAACAAACATAAGCTACTCCTTGCTTTATTTTAACAAACATAAGCTACGCCTTGCTTTATTTTAAATTTGCAGTCAACAAACTCTGTGTTGGGTCTTTCGAGAGAAGGAAGCCGATCATATTTACTGCTGCCTGGGGGAGAAAAAAAAAAGTAAAAAAAGTAGTCATGATGGTGAATTGAACGAGTGTAAATGTCTCCTACTTTTCAGGCTGGCCCAAAGTTTGACTTCAGCACCTTGCGAATAACAGGAAGAAGAGCAAAAAGTGTTGCCTGCAGGTCTGTGCTGTGGCGGTGAGCAGGTCACTCCAACCTCACCCATAACCCATCGACCACGCCAGTGTTTCCGACTGCCTGCCTTCAGAATGCCATCCTGGGATCAAGAGATAGTTTGCAAAGCCAACTTCGTTTTCGATTGAAGACGAGTTGCACAAAGAGATCGTGTCGTTTTGTCATTTTGCTTTCTTGGCCAGGGGTGTTAAACTCATTTCACATTGTGGACCACATACGGCCTCGGTAGATGTCAAGTGGGCCGGACCATTAAAAATTATACCATACTCTGCTACAAATAACCAAAATAAAATGTCTTTCCTTTGTTTTGGTCTAAAGATGCACAAGAACACTTGGAAAATGTTGAAATTTAATGAACATATCTTTTGCAAAACATTTCATGAAGCACCTAAGATTTCCTTAGACAAATGTGCAATTTACATTTATCATTCACTTATATGCAACTGATCCCACTGACTGTACAAAGGCACAAAACCTTAACAAGTAATTGGTCTTGAAAAATATAGGAACGCACTTTGAAGATTAACCGAGATTTATGAAGAAAGGAATTTTTAAACCATTTACACGAGCATATAAAATCTAAATGGAATCCCTGCCTACATCTTACAAACTAAGGAGAGTGCTATAATATGTGTAAAGAAGAAAGTATTCACATGTTGTTGATGGCGTCTGCTGTGTTGGGTCTGTCTCATTGACAGACTGAGGCTTGTTGTCTTCTCTGATCAAAACAATGTTGTTTTTTCCTCTGATAAAAACAGTGTCTCCCCATAGCGGATATTCCACGAATTGCACCTTATTAAAACTATTCATTCCGTGTCTTTTGTGCATTTTTTTTCACTTTTAAATTATCCTGAGGGCCTGATCAAACCTCCTTGTGGGCCGGTTCCGGCCGTATGTTACACACCCCTGATGAAAAGTAAGGCGTTTTTAGTCGAAAAAAAACGACCATGTACAGGAAGGCGTTTTTAGCCTAAAAAATGACCATGAATAGTAAGGCATTTTTAGCCGAAAAAAAAACGACCATGTATATAGTAAGGCGTTTTAACCCCCCAAAAACCGACCATGTATAGTAAAGCGTTTTTAGCAAAAAAAAAAAAAAAGATCATGAATAATAGTAAGGCATTTTTAGCTGAAAAAAACGACCATGTATAGGAAGGCGTTTTTAGATGAAAAAAATGACCATGAATAGTAAGACGTTTTGTGACGAAAGAAACGACAATGTATAGTAAGGCGTTTTAAACCCGAAAAAAACGACCATGTATAGTAAGGCATTTTTAGCCGAAAAAAACGACCATGTGTAGTAAGGCGTTTTTAGCCGAAAAAAATGACCATGTATAGTAAGGCGTTTTTTGCCGAAAAAATGACCAATGTTTTTAACTGAAAAAACGACCATGTATAGTCAGGCGTTTTTAGCCGAAAAGCGACCATGTATGATAAGGGTTTTTTTTTCCCCAAAAAACAACCATTTGTAGTAATGCGTTTTTAACCAAAAAAAACGACCATGAATAGTATGGCGTTTTTTGCCCAAAAAATTGACCATGTATAGTGAGGCGTTTTTAGCTGAAAAAAACGACCATGTGTAGTAAGGCGTTTTAACCAGAAAAAACGACTATGTATAGTCATGCGTTTTTAACCGAAAAAACGACCATGTATAGTAAGGCGTTTTGAGCCGAAAAAAACGACCTTGTATAGGAAGGCGTTTTTAGCTGAAAAAAACGACCATGTATCGTAAGGCGTTTTTCGCCGAAAAAAACGACCAGGTATAGTAAGGCGTTTTGAGCCGAAAAAAACGACCTTGTATAGGAAGGCGTTTTTAGCTGAAAAAAACGACCATGTATCGTAAGGCGTTTTTCGCCGAAAAAAACGACCAGGTATAGTAAGGCGTTTTGAGCCGAAAAAAACGACCTTGTATAGGAAGGCGTTTTTAGCTGAAAAAAACGACCATGTATCGTAAGGCGTTTTTCGCCGAAAAAAACGACCAGGTATAGTAAGGCGTTTTGAGCCGAAAAAAACGACCTTGTATAGGAAGGCGTTTTTAGCTGAAAAAAACGACCATGTATCGTAAGGCGTTTTTCGCCGAAAAAAACGACCAGGTATAGTAAGGCGTTTTGAGCCGAAAAAAACGACCTTGTATAGGAAGGCGTTTTTAGCTGAAAAAAACGACCATGTATCGTAAGGCGTTTTTCGCCGAAAAAAACGACCAGGTATAGTAAGGCGTTTTGAGCCGAAAAAAACGACCATGTATAGTAAGGCGTTTTTTACTAAAAAAACGACCATGTATAGTCGGGCGTTTTAACCGAAAAAACGACCATGTATAGCAGTGTTTTTCAAACTTTTTTGAGCCAAGGCACACTTCTTTCATTGTTAAAATCTCGCGGCCCACCACTAGCTAAAAATGTGGAAAAAAAAACAAAAACACGCTTACTTGAATAATGAACGTGTTATATTGTTACTATAACCGTTTTTAACATTGAAGAATGACGTTATAACAGCTTGAATTGGAATAAAATGAACACAAAGAAAAAAGTATTTTCTCATCTTTCACATTTATTGTTTCACCTTCGTCCTGCATTCATGCGTCACAAATTCGCTTGTCTCTCGTCTTAACACAAGGCAATTGGCTAGCTGTTGCTGCTCCCTAGCGGTATGGGAGGGTACTACACGATTACTTTCTGGGCGATAGGCACACAGGCAAACAAATTGGATATTTACCCGTGGCACACCTGACAATGTCTTGCGGTGGTGTGCCGCGGGAATGTCTTGCGGCACACTGGTGTGCCGCGGCACAGGGGTTGAAAAACACTGATGTATAGTAAGGCGTTTTTAACTGAAAAAACGACCATGTATAATCAGGCATTTTTAGCCAAAAAAAAACGACCATGGATAGTAAGGCGTTGAGCCGAAAACAACAACCATGTATCGTAAAGCGTTTTTAGCCGAAAAAAACGACCATGTATAGTAAGGCGTTTTTAGCAGAAAAAAAACGACCATGTATAGTGAGGTTTTTTTTCCGAAAAAAACGACCATGTATAGTCATGCATTTTTAACCGAAAAAAACGACCATGTATAGTAAGGCGTTTTTTGCCGAAAATAACGACCATGTGCGTTTTTAGCCGAAAAAAAACCCGACCATGTATAGTAAGGCGTTTTTAGCCGAAAAAAACGACCTTGTATAGGAAGGCGTTTTTAGCCGAAAAAAAACGACCATGTATAGATAGTAAGGTGTTTTTAGCCGAAAAAAAACAACCATGTATAGTCAGGCGTTTTTAGCCGAAAAAAATGACCATGGATAGTAAGGCGTTGAGCCGAAAACAACGACCATGTATACTAAGGCATTTTTAACCAAAAAATGACCATGTATAGTTTTTTCCCCAAAAAACGACGAATTGTGGCAACAAAAAAAAATAAATTAAAAAAAAAAAATGGAGATTTGACTTTCCTCAGAGGCCCCAAGGAGTAACCTTTGATAAAGGTGGCTTAAAGCTTACACTTTTCCTCAGCATTTGTAGAATTTGAACAATCCTGTCCTCCGAGTACTTCCGGGTCATCTGACCTGAATAATAAAAGAAAAGGCACAAACGAGAATTCGCAGAGGCCCCTAGTCTTGATTTGTACTGCCCTAAAAAAAAAAAAAAAAAGAAGTGAAGCCATTTTTAACTACCATGCCATGTTGAGGATCTGGTGGGGCACTGGCAGCAGTTAATGTAAACTTTGAATCACATGACCATGTGATCAACAGCACGTGCTATTTCCCGAGTCCGTTTTAGTCAGATTACTTTTGGGAAACGGGGACACCGGCAAGGGTACAAGGAAGTACACGCAGGTGCCTGTCACCAGAATGGAGAGGGCGGCCAACAGAGCGAGGCCTCGCCTCAGCAGCAGCTGGCCCAGAGAGAGCCGGTCAGCGTTCGCCTGTTGCTGTGTGGCAGTGTTGCCCTCGCTTATGTCAGCCCGGTACTCTTCCTGCACAGCTGGGCTCATTAAGGCCAAGTGGGTGCTCTTCTGGCCGCGCTTCATAGCCTGGAAAAACAAAGGCAAAAATCAAAACGACAATAACGTAAACTAGAGAATGTAATTGCTGAAGGAATTGCGTTTGAATCCTGGAGAGCTGACATTGAAAATGTACGACAGTAAGGGGCAACATTCACAATTAGGCGTGGGTTGATGTCTCATGATGAAGTGAGGGAGTCATTTAGTTTTGCATTCACCTCCTCTGTCATTGTCTTCCAATCCAGTTTGAAGATGACAATAATGTAAATGATGGACTGCAAGATTAGGCAAATCATAATCCCCAGCCAGAAACCTTTGAACAAAAAATACAAAATAATACATCAGTCAGTATTTTAGTCAGTCTCTTAGTTAATCTGTATGTATAGTAATTTCCCTTCTATCTATCTACATAACACCCCCATCCTGATTTATATAGCGCTTTCACAACAGCTGCAGCTGTAACAAAGCGCTTAACAAAACAGTTAACAAAGTAAAATAATAAACACAATACTAACATAAAACACGGACAGTCGTGCAATCCTAACCACTTTTCCCTCATACGCTTTGTTGTTTTCTCCTTATGCTCCTTAAATACTCCTTAGGCATGTTTTTATAGGACGTAAGGCACTTAATTTTTATTTTAAAAAGTATTTGAACGAACTTTTAAAATAATACATTTAAACACCTGAAATATATTGAGACACAAAAATATCCAATCATAATTACATTTTTAAAATACCCCCGCAATACAGTATATATATATATATATATATATATATAAGAGAGAGAGAGAGAGTGTACCACTGCCTCTTGGTGTTTATAGCAAACAAACAATTTTTTGAATCCATCCAAGCTGTCTTCGGGCAGTAGGTGGGGGACACCCTGGACTGGTTGCCAACCAATTGCAGGACACACAGACGAACAACCATTCAAACTCACCATCACACCTCTGGACAATTTAAAGAGCGTTCCATTAGCCTGCCATGCATGTTTTTGGAACGTGGGAGGAAACCGAAGTACCCGGAAAAAACCCACGTAGGCACGGGGAAAACATGTAAACTCCACACAGGAAGGCCAGAGCTGGAATCGCACCCTGCACCTCTACACTGTGAGGCCGACATGCTAACCAGTCGACCGCCGTGCCACCCACTATCAATAATCATGCTAAAAAAAATGTACATTATACAGCTAACCTAATACGCTTTCTGTACATGTAAAAAGCAAGATTAAAGAGGACGACATTCAAATATTTCCAACCAAAAGTAGGCTGTGTTTAAATACTTCTTTTTGCCTCAATCTAGTGGTAGAAATTGGAATTACACTCAATATAAATAAGAGTTTGACCAAAATAAAGTTAACTGGACCAAAAAAAAAAAACCCAAAAAAAAAAATCTGTGAAATAGTGGGACTGCAAACCTGGAACGCGCGATGGAGGGAGTTTACTGTAGGTGTATTGTGAAAGCTGAGCGACAAGTTCGATGATGCCTCAGGGACAAATAAGAAAGCACAAGGAAGCAACAATATTGCAAATAAAAAGAAACAGAAACGCCTCCTGGCACCTGCTTGAGGAACCTGGAGATCAGTCAGGGTAGAGCAACAAAACAATTGTTCATACCTGGTTGGGAATCCGTAAGATAAAAAAGAGCAAGAAGCAACTACAAGAAGAAGACATGTCAGAATGTTACCCACCTAAAATCCTGAGCTTGACCACAAACATGAGCGTCACACTGAGCGTTAGTCCGACCCCGTAGTAGCCGATGAAGTTAGCCGCTGCCGGAATCTTCTGCTTTCCTGTCCCCAGAAAGATGCCCGTGCACACACACTAGCGGAATGGAAAAAAATAAAACAGTCATTTACATATTTTTATGGATCAGATAAATGATAAATGAACGCATGCATGCAAGACTCACCACGAGGCCATCAAAGAACTGAACGAAGACGTAAGCGTTCATCACAACCGACACCAGATTGACGATCTTCCTGGAATGATATATACAGATTTTTTTTTTGTAAAACCGTACACAAAGATTCATCGACAAAACTCTTGGATCGCCATGTTTTCGTTGCCTTTTATCTCATTCTGAAGAGTGACTGCTCCTGACCCCAACTGATGACTGTACAAGACATCAGTGTAAATGACAGTAAATCAAATTAAATTCAGGAAAAAAGTGAGGTTTTGTAGAAAAAAAAAGTCGCAATCTCAAGACAACGTAGAAGACAATGACATATTTATTTCGAGAAAAACAGTCAGAATTTTGCAATGTCAGTCATGTTTTGAGACAAAGGTTGTCATTTTACTCAATTAAATTGTAGATTGTCGGTATTCAAATTCAGTTTTTTAAAAAAAATTATTTAATAAGGCGCCAACAGAAGTGAAGTCCAGGTTTTTCCTCTACCTTTGATTAAGGTCCATTAAACAATTTAAAATCTTTTTTTCTTTCAGTTATTTTAGAAACCTACTTTTATTTCTTGTAAATGTTGAAATAATATTAAAGTTTTCTGTTCATATATATAAATGATGTTAATGAACATTATGGTAATTCTTGTAAGATATTGTTTTTTTTTTTTTGTTCTGATTTGTTTCTGAACGTGATTAACTGTTGCGTTTGTAAATGCTTGCAGGTGTTGTGTCTTTGCTTGGGTGATGCATGTTGAGTTTTCCAATTCAACATATCATAAGTGCCCAGGAGCCCTGCAAGGTTTTGTTTTCAATATTGGATGTTGCCCAATGTACGCAGTAGTGTCCACTCACTGATCGGAGGTGAAGATGAAGCCAATCACTGATTTAGTCAAGCCAAGCACGGTACCTTCAACAACTGTAAATGCACCTGAAGACAACACAAACACGCACTCTGATCTACGAAAGAGTATTGGTAGAAACAAAAACACTGTATACATTGTGACAAAAAAGCAGCATTCTTTTCAGAGTGCAATTGTCCTTTCTTGAGAAAGTTGGATTTTTTTATGAATGTATTTTTTTCAAGGAAAAACCTTACGCATGATAGTATTTTCAAGAAAAAAAAGTCTGCCTTACAAAAATGAATTAATTTTATGATGGAAAAACTTGTAACCTCATGAGAACAAAAAGGACAACCAATATATTTTTTATAATATTTAATAGGCAAAAAAAATGAGGGCTTGGGGGTTCCAGAAACAAAGTACCAAGCTTACTTTTTTTTTAGGAAAAACTCTCAAGCTTAAATTAAAGTCTACAGCTACATTGCTCTTGAGATAAAGTCAGCCGCTTACAACATTGTTTCTCTTAAGAGGAAAATATATGGCTATTTTTTCGAAGTCAATTTGTAGAAATATGAAAGCTCAAAATTACCGGCGAGGCTCAGGGCCACCTTGCAGGTGAGGATGGCCCTGCCCGTGTCTCCGGCACCGAGGGCATTACCCACTCGAGCGCAGGCCGCTGCCTGTATCCCAAAAGGCAACTTAAAAAAAAAAAAAAAAAAAAAAAGACAAAGTAGTTATGACCTTAAGTAGCTAAAACAAATGTGTTGGTTTACCACAAAACAATGTACTACATTACCATGTAGGCGAGTGCAGAAACCATCATCACTGCATGCTGGGTGGCCAGCTCATCTTCACCCAACATCCCTGAATGGTAAAATGACATTATTATGATAAAACTGCACCATCACACAGGTACTGTAGGTAAGCAGGTTGTTCATTTGACTAGTAGCTACTTAAAAGTAGGTACGTTAGGTATGTAGGTAGCAAAGATAGATATGTAGCTCCCAAAAATAGCTATATCGCTAGCTAGCTACAGTATGTAGGTAAATTGCTAATTCAGGTAAGTACGTAATTACCCGCAAAGAATCCCCCCAACTCAAAGAGCCACCACTCGAAACATTTCATGAGCATGCTTGGAACGGCCAGCCTCATGTAGGAGCCCCACTCCTGCAGGGATTCCATTGACCAACCTGGAGGAGAAGTTTCAGGCTTACTGAAGTCGACATCCAGCAAATGGGGGCAAGCAAACAAATCAACGCGTGTAGGCGGGCTCACCGGGTCATCAAAGACTCACCTCCCCATGTTGAGACGTGCAGCTTCTTCCAGCGAATGTAAACAAACAACAGAGCGCAGATGCTCAGTTGAGAGAGTGTGTTGGCAGCTGCGGATCCACTAGGGGGCGTACGCACCCAGACAGACAAACAAGACACGCACACACGTACACTATAGTGCAGTGGTTCTTAACCTTGTTGGAGGTACCGAACCCAACCAGTTCAAAATGCACATTCACCGAACCCTTCATTCGTGAAAAATAAAGATATGATTTTTTTACAAATTCAAGACACAAAAAACACATTTATTAAAAACAGAAAAAAGTAAAAAACGTTTTAATTGTGCCCTAAATGAAGTAAATTTCCCACAGCACTGATTGGAATGTGATCATCAGCAGCCAGCGATGGCCAAGCGGGTGTGTCATAACTAATTGACATATTTAGTCGGGTGTGTCTTAACCTCCATTGCAGAGGCTCCGTCAAAGCCCTGAGACCGATTCACCGAACCCAGGTTAAGAACCACTAGTATAGTGTGTGCGATATCATGGCTTGACTTCAACTAAGATGGACTCACGTCACTCCTAGATCGAGCCAGTGTAAGAACACATAGTTCATCATCAGGTTGGCAACATTTGCCATGGCTGCAGTGTACATCTGTGGAAGTATTATACCCTAAAACACACACACACACACACACACACACACACACACACACGGCACTTATTTTTAAAGACTAACACTCGAACAAGATTTGAGCCCCCCCCTTAGAAAAAATGTTATTCTTTTGGATGCTAAAAAAATTCATGAAAATTATTTTAATGAGAAAATAGTTAATTCTCTTAAAAATGTGCAACTCATAAACATATAAATGTATTTTTGAATAATTCTACTTTTGTTCTTGAAAATATTTGACTTTTTCCATCCGAAGAATCTAACCATGTTCTCTTTTTTTTTTTATGTGACTTCATACCCTGGGCAGGTGATTGGCCTCCTAGTTAAAAAAAAATCTATTTGCAAAAAGCAGAGTCTCAAGAATGAATCCATTCCAGGGCATGGTAAAGCCCTCAATAAAGGTACAGGTATCGCCCGTTAAGCTCACCTGGTTCTGCAAGTAAGATGCTTGAAGATTGTGTAGAAACATTGCCTAGAAGACCACAGTACAACATGTCACCATCATAATGACAACATGCTCATTTTGCACAGTTAATGTGCAACTTACTGGCACGGCCGGCAAGTAGGCTATGATGTACAGATTCGCTATTCTGAAATGAAAATGATGGTTGACACCTTAGAATAAAAAGACATACAATACATTGAATTACTGTAGCGGGTGTATGGTGGGTGGCTTGTTATTCTGTTGGTTTGTTACCGGGTGACCTCAGGGCCTTGGCCCACGAGTAGTAGGAGACTCTGGGCGTTGAGGAGCAAAGCCCAACAGGGCAGACAGAACAACAGTAGGATGAGGATGCCTCTCTGCAAGATCACGCCTACGCGGAGCAGATTCTTACCACCAAAAGTCTGCCATGGACACCGTTTTGTGTATATTTGGATTATATGAAAAATATTCTAGATAACTGTACAGTATTTCAGGATATGATAACGAATGAGGGCTTTTCAAACCTGAGAGACCAGCGTATCGCAAGCGAGAGCAAGACCGTACCCCGTTGCCGCTGTGGTGATGTTGATGGTCTGAAATGAAATGCAAACATGTCCGAGTGAATGCTAAATACCCCAAGGTGCGCAAGAGTCCTCCAGAGGGATGAGCAAGATGAGAAGTGTAATCACAGAATGGTACAACATCAACATTTAAGTTATTTTTGCCGCAGCATGAAGGGGTTTTAAAGGTGGTGCGTTGCTGAAAAAAGTTTGAGGAAGAGAAAATAATATAAGTTAAAGAATTGTAAAAGTGCCCTCGAGGGGGTGCGTGAGATTAAAACTGTACGAGTGGTTTGGTATAATACTTGCACATTTATAGAGTGTTTCAGTGTAATTACTCGACAAATTACAAAGAGCATTCCCGAGGGGAGTGCCAACAAATTCGATCTGACAATGAAGAGACAAGCACTTACAGCAGACGCTAATCCATATCCAGCCATCACCTCGTTGCCCAAACGTCCGCAGAACATGGTGACCACGAAGGGAAGCAGATAATTGAGCACCCGAGACAGCAACTAAAGACAATCAATGGGAGCAGAGCCAAAACGTTAGGCACAGTCCAAAAAGATCATGGCCTCATGTCTCCAACTAAGATACTGTGTTGTATAAGAAATTATGCAGCATTGGTTGACAGTACCCTACATGTGCTTTAAAATTTTTATTTTATTAAAAAGTTTATTTAAAATTTTAGGTGCACCTCAAGGCTCTATCCCAGTTCACATTTTATTTCTACTCTAAAAGCCTCAGGTGTTATTTTTAGATAAATAGCTTTACAATTGTTACATTTGGACAGAATTGAAGCATTTTGTTGACGTGTGTATTTAATTGGGTATAAATTTGTGTCCACTGTTTGCTTTGTATTTTTATTACATTTAATGTGCATTATATTATTCAAATACTGTACTGTGTGTGTAATATACATAAAATTATTCTCCGTTAACACAATTTAAATGTGTTTTTTGCATCATTATTCATTATTTTATTTCATTATTTAAATGTGTCTTTTTTTTTAACCTAAATCGTTTTCTTGCTTTGTTCGTGTCATGATTTATTCAATATATCAATTGTGTTTGTGCTTTGTTTATAAATGTATTATATTAATATTCTATTATATTATGTATCATATTTTTAACCCTTAAAATGTAAGATTAAATGTTGACAATTTTTCCAAAGCTTTTTCATGATTCAAGGTTTGGATTCTCACAATGTTTTTTTGGACCTTGGTTTTCTCTGGTGTTATGGGCCCCGCCGAAATGTGGACATAGCATCGTGCCGAATAGATAAGAAATAATACATTGCAAACTTCAAGCGCAATAACAATTGTTATCCTAGAAAAAAACTCTTATCAACGCAATGCAAAAAACAAAGGTGCCACCTTACCAGAGGCCCAGCCATCCTCAAGATGTGGGACACTTCTTCTCTATGGCTCAGGGGCATCTTGAGACAGCTCCACCAGCAGAAGAACCTCTTGACGCTCGATCCCGCCGCCATGTCTTCTACTACACCACACTACACACTCCAGCGCAGGTACACTTCTCTTTATACTTCTCCCGTCTCTTGTTGTCACTTCAAAAGCTACTTCCAGGACGTCGGAGAGGATGGAGCGCTTGCTGGCTTCCTTTGGAGCCCAGCCAAGTGCAGCTGAAACAACTGAGATTGTTGAAAAAAAAAAGGGTGCACGCTGCAATCAAAACAATAGCTCACAAGAGTTCATCTGAAGCACTCTTTGTATGAGTCTTCTTTCACATTTATTATATTTGCTAAAACTCTGTTCAGTGAGGAAGCTATTCATTTAAAAAAAAAATCAATATTTAGAATGCAGTGTATTTTATATGGTAGTGATTTAGGGTGAGCAGTCTTCTTGCATTTATTCTTCTATGAATCCGATGATTAGCTTTTTACGCGCACCCCAAGGCTCGATCCTAAATTTTATTTCGACTAATTCTCACTGCACGAGCTTCAACTATGCCATTTGATGAAATAACTTTTATTAGCCCCACAATAGGGTAATTTTCATTGTTTCATCAGCAATAGTGTATACATTCATTCATTCATCTTCCGAACCGCTTGATCCTCACGAGTAATTCCTGTGATTTTTTTCAACTTTTGGCTTGTTTGGCTGTATATCATATTTTTTTCCCCCCCACACTTTTTTTCCCTGTATTTCACAATTGAAAAAAAAGAGGGTGAGGCTCGCAGCACTGACACAAAGTGGTGGGAGATATCGTCGCTGTTAGGCACACATATTTTTTTTCACAATTGAAAAAAAAAACAAAAAACAAAGCTTATTTTTTTAAATAGTTTCTTTCATAAAGGAGAAAATAGATTCAGTATCATTCCTTCTTTTTGCTTAATACAAGCATACTTAACAAAAAAAGGAATGAAACAAAAATCAAACAAGCAAAATTGCACTTAATGTGACCTTGTAACTACACAAAACGCTGCGCTGAGACTAAAAGTGATGAATATTCAGAGTCTTGACAAGAAGGGTTGTGGCTCGCTGAAATTTCGTCTCGTCTTCACCAGTCCAACGTGGAAACCGTTTGCAGGGGACTGTGAGTGGCATTGATGCTCGTGAGGTTGGCGTGGAGCAGCGGCGTGCCCTCGGGTGGCGGAACCAGGATGTGCACACAGGTGCCCACTGCCAGGAGGCCCAGTGCCGTAACCATGGTGATGCCTCGGCGGAGAATCAGCTGGGAAACAGAGAGATGCCCGGCTTCCTCCTTGTCATCGGGCGCTTCGTATCAACGTTTGACTATCGTGATAGTACGTCGTACAATTAAAAAAAAAAAGTACACTTATCTCTTGAAATTTCATTTACTTTTTTTCTGTTTTTAATAAATGCGTTTTTTTATATACTTAAAAAAAGATATATTTATTTTTCACTCATGAAGGGTTCGGTGTTAACTCGCTCGTCATTCAGTTACTTATTCAGTTCCTCATTCGCTAAATCGGTCAGTCAGTTCAGACCACTATTTCGAACACTGTCATTTACTGAAGGTTTATTGCCCCTTGGACCATATTTAAATATGATTATTCCCAACACTGCTTGTCAGTCAGAAAGTAAGATAACCTTTATTTGTAACACACTGGGGAAATTTGCAAGTGTTGTATTTGAGAAGAAAAAAAAAGGCGTTTCACTTACATTGTGCTGCAATTGTGTCTGCTCTCCGCTTTGGAGATTAGCTGCAGCACTTGTGTTCAGTAGCGGCACTTTTGTCTTCACCTGGGCTCGTTTCAGCGCCTGCAAACCAACAACCACACAACGGATACTTATTTGAAAGACTTGATTTTTCAAAACTCATCGACGGCCCGCACTTGCACCTCGTCTGTGATGCTCTTCCAGTTGAGTTTGAATATGACCACGATGTAGAAGGCGGATTGAAGAACCACAGAAATGAGGAGCCCCACCCAGAAACCTGCGGAATAAAAACAACCAAAATACTCAAAGATAATGACCCCCATGTTGTTTGTGTTCAAGCAGGTTATCGGGTAAACACCTAAAATGTTGAGTTTGTAGACAAACATCAGCACAATGCCGACGGAGAGTCCGATGCAGTAGTGGCCGATGAAGTTAGCCACCGCGCCTATCTTTTGCTTACCGGTTCCCATAAAGATGCCTGCGGATACGCCCTTGAAGCAAGGCAAGCAGAAAACCCTTTAGATCTATGGTGCAGTTTTTTTCTGGGTGAATTGAAGTTTTTGTTACCCACCACGATGCCATCAAATAACTGTTGGAAGCAGTAAATGCTCATCAAGTGAGATAGAAGATTGATGATGTTCCTGAAAGGTGGTCACACAGGGCAAATTTTATTTCAATACATTTTTGATTACTCTAGAGCAGTAGTTCTTAACCTGGGTTCGATCGAACCCCAGGGGTTCGACGGAGACTCAGCCATGGGGCGTAAGACACGCGCGACTCAACATGTTAATTAGTCATGACACGCCCGCTCGGCCATCACTGGCTGTAGATGATCACATGACATTGCTTGTCCAATCAGTGCTGTGGGAAGTTCGCTTCGTATCAACGTTTGACTATCGTGATAGTACGTCGTACAATTAAAAAAAAAAAGTACACTTATCTCTTGAAATTTCATTTACTTTTTTTCTGTTTTTAATAAATGCGTTTTTTTATATACTTAAAAAAAGATATATTTATTTTTCACTCATGAAGGGTTCGGTGAATATGCATATGAACTGGTTGGGTTCGGTAACTCTGAAAAGGTTAAGAACCACTGCTCTAGAGAGTTAGCACAATCCACACACAAAAGGAACATAAATCAACCTACGTTAAAATAGTCGCTGTTGTTGAAGTGGTACACTCGCCTGATTTGTGTGCGGGTTCTCGCTCATTGACGGTGTGATCGTGGGTGTGAATGGATGTCTGTCTCTATAATTGCCATGCGACAGACTGGCGACCAGTTCAGGGGGTAGTGCCGCCTTTTAAAATTAGGCAAGGCGTAACATTATAGTCAAGATACTCACGGATCGGAGGTGAAGAGGAGGCCCACAACAGATTTAGTCGCTCCCAGCAAGATGGCTTGAGCAATGCCAAATGTGACTGCAAACAAACAAGGATCACGTCGCGTGACGCCGAACTGCGTACAGCAACCGCAACAAACAGCCTGACCTGAAAGAAACAGCGCCACCTTGCAGGTGAGGATCGCTCCTGCCGTGTCCCCGCAGCCGAGCGCATTGCCTACTCGAGCGCAGGTCGCAGCCTGGATGCCAAGCGTCACCTGCCATTTTGGATGAAATGTATACTCAGTGGCCTCGACTGTATGTTAAGACAAAACCTGCGTGACATCTCCTCACTTTACCATGTAGTTTAAGTTTGCCACTGATATCAAGGCATGTTGGACGGCGAGCTCAACATTACCCAGCATCCCTGCCACGCACGATACAACAAAAACAGCAATATTTAAAATAAAAATTGGACGTTTTAAAATGAATGGTGGAGCATTACATACCAATCAAATGGACACCCGTCACAAAATTAATTGGAGAGCATAAAATAAAATTAATTGGACAGCATATTGTACAATGAAAAAAAACAGGGAAAAGCATAGAATACATTTCAAAATATAATATAAAAATTAATCTAAATGCTGTATGACATTTGTACCTGCAAAAAAGCCCCCAAATTCATAAATCCACCATTCAAAACACGTCATGAGTGTGCTGGGGATAGCCAGTTCCATGAAGGAGCCCCATTCCTGCAGCGACTCCAGAGAAAAGCCTGCAGGGGGAGCGAGACACGCACTTCTCGAGCCAAATGCCAGACACAACCTTAGGTACGGTGCCGAAACATCTGGAGATTGCCATCATATACTGCCACGTTTTGTACAGCGTTGTCTATGGCAATCGCATGTGTTCTCTGAAGTAAGATTTAAATTGGCATTATAATTGTAAATGAAGATTTCTTGACTTGTGTATATAGAGGATTACGTCACCTCCCCATGTCGTTTTATGCAGCTTCTTCCACCAGATGTAAGCAAACAGGAAGGAACAGACGTATATTTCTGACAGGGTGCAAGCTGCTGCAGAGCCACTGAAAGAAAATGTCAGAAATATCTCCTACCACAACACATACAATTTATACGTGTGTGTGTGTGTGTGTGTGTGTGTGTGTGTGTGTGTGTGTGTGTTCTTTGTATGAGTCTTCTTTCACATTTATTATATTTGCTAAAACTCTGTTCAGTGATGAAGCTATTCATTTAAAAAAAAAATCAATATTTAGAATACAGTGTATTTTATATGGTAGTGATTTAGGGTGAGCAGTCTTCTTGCATTTATTCTTCTATGAATCCGATGATTAGCTTTTTACGCGCACCCCAAGGCTCGATCCTAAATTTTATTTCGACTAATTCTCACTGCACGAGCTTCAACTATGCCATTTGATGAAATAACTTTTATTAGCCCCACAATAGGGTAATTTTCATTGTTTCATCAGCAATAGTGTATACATTCATTCATTCATCTTCCGAACCGCTTGATCCTCACGAGTAATTCCTGTGATTTTTTTCAACTTTTGGCTTGTTTGGCTGTATATCATATTTTTTTCCCCCCCACACTTTTTTTCCCTGTATTTAATTTCCTTGTTTATGGAGGGTGAGGCTCGCAGCACTGACACAAAGTGGTGGGAGATATCGTCGCTGTTAGGCACACATATTTTTTTTCACAATTGAAAAAAAAAACAAAAAACAAAGCTTATTTTTTTAAATAGTTTCTTTCATAAAGGAGAAAATAGATTCAGTATCATTCCTTCTTTTTGCTTAATACAAGCATACTTAACAAAAAAAGGAATGAAACAAAAATCAAACAAGCAAAATTGCACTTAATGTGACCTTGTAACTACACAAAACGCTGCGCTGAGACTAAAAGTGATGAATATTCAGAGTCTTGACAAGAAGGGTTGTGGCTCGCTGAAATTTCGTCTCGTCTTCACCAGTCCAACGTGGAAACCGTTTGCAGGGGACTGTGAGTGGCATTGATGCTCGTGAGGTTGGCGTGGAGCAGCGGCGTGCCCTCGGGTGGCGGAACCAGGATGTGCACACAGGTGCCCACTGCCAGGAGGCCCAGTGCCGTAACCATGGTGATGCCTCGGCGGAGAATCAGCTGGGAAACAGAGAGATGCCCGGCTTCCTCCTTGTCATCGGGCAGACTCTCCGAGCCAACGTTGGGACATTGGCTGCTCCCGTGCATGAAGCCCTCTATTGACTTGATTATTTTTATCAGAAGACAGGCACAACGTACTTGATTAGGTAAACATCCTCAGTCTCTTATCTCTTAGTTGGTCAGTTGCTAAGTTCATTAGTTTGTTAACTCGCTCGTCATTCAGTTACTTATTCAGTTCCTCATTCGCTAAATCGGTCAGTCAGTTCAGACCACTATTTCGAACACTGTCATTTACTGAAGGTTTATTGCCCCTTGGACCATATTTAAATATGATTATTCCCAACACTGCTTGTCAGTCAGAAAGTAAGATAACCTTTATTTGTAACACACTGGGGAAATTTGCAAGTGTTGTATTTGAGAAGAAAAAAAAAGGCGTTTCACTTACATTGTGCTGCAATTGTGTCTGCTCTCCGCTTTGGAGATTAGCTGCAGCACTTGTGTTCAGTAGCGGCACTTTTGTCTTCACCTGGGCTCGTTTCAGCGCCTGCAAACCAACAACCACACAACGGATACTTATTTGAAAGACTTGATTTTTCAAAACTCATCGACGGCCCGCACTTGCACCTCGTCTGTGATGCTCTTCCAGTTGAGTTTGAATATGACCACGATGTAGAAGGCGGATTGAAGAACCACAGAAATGAGGAGCCCCACCCAGAAACCTGCGGAATAAAAACAACCAAAATACTCAAAGATAATGACCCCCATGTTGTTTGTGTTCAAGCAGGTTATCGGGTAAACACCTAAAATGTTGAGTTTGTAGACAAACATCAGCACAATGCCGACGGAGAGTCCGATGCAGTAGTGGCCGATGAAGTTAGCCACCGCGCCTATCTTTTGCTTACCGGTTCCCATAAAGATGCCTGCGGATACGCCCTTGAAGCAAGGCAAGCAGAAAACCCTTTAGATCTATGGTGCAGTTTTTTTCTGGGTGAATTGAAGTTTTTGTTACCCACCACGATGCCATCAAATAACTGTTGGAAGCAGTAAATGCTCATCAAGTGAGATAGAAGATTGATGATGTTCCTGAAAGGTGGTCACACAGGGCAAATTTTATTTCAATACATTTTTGATTACTCTAGAGCAGTAGTTCTTAACCTGGGTTCGATCGAACCCCAGGGGTTCGACGGAGACTCAGCCATGGGGCGTAAGACACGCGCGACTCAACATGTTAATTAGTCATGACACGCCCGCTCGGCCATCACTGGCTGTAGATGATCACATGACATTGCTTGTCCAATCAGTGCTGTGGGAAGTTCGCTTCGTATCAACGTTTGACTATCGTGATAGTACGTCGTACAATTAAAAAAAAAAAGTACACTTATCTCTTGAAATTTCATTTACTTTTTTTCTGTTTTTAATAAATGCGTTTTTTTATATACTTAAAAAAAGATATATTTATTTTTCACTCATGAAGGGTTCGGTGAATATGCATATGAACTGGTTGGGTTCGGTAACTCTGAAAAGGTTAAGAACCACTGCTCTAGAGAGTTAGCACAATCCACACACAAAAGGAACATAAATCAACCTACGTTAAAATAGTCGCTGTTGTTGAAGTGGTACACTCGCCTGATTTGTGTGCGGGTTCTCGCTCATTGACGGTGTGATCGTGGGTGTGAATGGATGTCTGTCTCTATAATTGCCATGCGACAGACTGGCGACCAGTTCAGGGGGTAGTGCCGCCTTTTAAAATTAGGCAAGGCGTAACATTATAGTCAAGATACTCACGGATCGGAGGTGAAGAGGAGGCCCACAACAGATTTAGTCGCTCCCAGCAAGATGGCTTGAGCAATGCCAAATGTGACTGCAAACAAACAAGGATCACGTCGCGTGACGCCGAACTGCGTACAGCAACCGCAACAAACAGCCTGACCTGAAAGAAACAGCGCCACCTTGCAGGTGAGGATCGCTCCTGCCGTGTCCCCGCAGCCGAGCGCATTGCCTACTCGAGCGCAGGTCGCAGCCTGGATGCCAAGCGTCACCTGCCATTTTGGATGAAATGTATACTCAGTGGCCTCGACTGTATGTTAAGACAAAACCTGCGTGACATCTCCTCACTTTACCATGTAGTTTAAGTTTGCCACTGATATCAAGGCATGTTGGACGGCGAGCTCAACATTACCCAGCATCCCTGCCACGCACGATACAACAAAAACAGCAATATTTAAAATAAAAATTGGACGTTTTAAAATGAATGGTGGAGCATTACATACCAATCAAATGGACACCCGTCACAAAATTAATTGGAGAGCATAAAATAAAATTAATTGGACAGCATATTGTACAATGAAAAAAAACAGGGAAAAGCATAGAATACATTTCAAAATATAATATAAAAATTAATCTAAATGCTGTATGACATTTGTACCTGCAAAAAAGCCCCCAAATTCATAAATCCACCATTCAAAACACGTCATGAGTGTGCTGGGGATAGCCAGTTCCATGAAGGAGCCCCATTCCTGCAGCGACTCCAGAGAAAAGCCTGCAGGGGGAGCGAGACACGCACTTCTCGAGCCAAATGCCAGACACAACCTTAGGTACGGTGCCGAAACATCTGGAGATTGCCATCATATACTGCCACGTTTTGTACAGCGTTGTCTATGGCAATCGCATGTGTTCTCTGAAGTAAGATTTAAATTGGCATTATAATTGTAAATGAAGATTTCTTGACTTGTGTATATAGAGGATTACGTCACCTCCCCATGTCGTTTTATGCAGCTTCTTCCACCAGATGTAAGCAAACAGGAAGGAACAGACGTATATTTCTGACAGGGTGCAAGCTGCTGCAGAGCCACTGAAAGAAAATGTCAGAAATATCTCCTACCACAACACATACAATTTATACGTGTGTGTGTGTGTGTGTGTGTGTGTGTGTGTGTGTGTGTGTTCGTGCGTGCGTTGGACTTACTAAACTCCAAGATCGAGCACGCTAATGAAGATGTAATTCGTCAGCAAGTTTGCCACATTCGCCAAGGCGGCCGTGTACATCTGTGGTAGTATTATGCCCTGAAATGACGACAGCACAGTACAATGAGAACAGATGGATGGTTTCTAATACACTGGTGCCTTGAAATACCAGCAACCCCAAGTTTTTAGCAGTGTTGTTTGGCCGATATTTTGCTTTGACTAGCCAGCAAAAAAATATAGATACGAATGCTGTGTGGGGAGGAGTCAACTCAACTTCACAACAAGCAGGGGTTTGGCAGATAATGAACAATTCTTCACAAAAGTGGCTTCAAGCTTTTTTTGCCTCCCAGTTGAAGTTTACTGTCAAACTAAACACAAAACAAAAACAATAACATTTGTACTGAAAACAACCACAATGTTTTGCTTAGCGTAAGGCCGTTTGTCTTGATAACAATTACAAAGCAAAACACAGTCGGCTAGTTAACAAAAACGATCTGTGTCGCGGTGTATTAAATCTTTAAGCAACTGATGTTTGATCACAAATGGCGAAGCAACACCTATAGACAGCTAATATTACAATACAAACAAAAATGTATTATTTATCTTCTGAAAAGAAAAAATAAAGTTATTGTGGCATTCTGAGGAGTTCTTACCGCCGGCTCCATGTATAGCAGTATAAGTGGTATGGATAATGAATGAATGAATGAATGAATGAATGAATGAATGAATGAATGAATGAATGAATGAATGAATGAATGAATGAATGAATGAATGAATGAATGAATGAATGAATGAATGAATGAATGAAT